CGGATTAACAGTAATAGGTTGCGTTTCTTTAGTTGGGCTCACCAATGTAGAACTATGGTCTACTATGATATTAGTGCTGCTTTAATAATAGACCTAATCCTAAATTTGTAGATTTGTCATGATATAACTGCCTAATCTATAAGATCTTACGTGGAAGTCACACCATCGACTACGCCAACTCACTGTATCGTATCAATTACCAATACATGATGTAGAACAAGGTTAGGCTAGAGAAGGAACAATATATTTAATATGAATAGGAGATATAAGATAACACTCAGATGAACCACGCCTGCATGGTCGAGCCATGCCATCCGATCAACTCCAGTCCATTTTATTCATTGTTCGCGCCTACTCCATTGTTAGGTATTTCTCCGCGTTAAATATTGAATATCTATTTTCTGAGTAGTCTCGTGTTCACAGCTTTGTGGATTGTGTGTGGCTATTGTCCAATGCCACTACAAACCCAGTATTCTAATAGTCCTCTGATTAATGCTCACATGCATTATCGTAATGTTATATTGAATAGTCCTCATGACATACTAGCTCAAACGATAATAAAAACTGGTCGTCAATATTAACTAATTAGCTTTGATGATTCGTTAACAAGCTTTGATAGCATTTACATGCTTCAGAGACATAGACTTGTTTAAACATCAAGCTCTAGCGAATATGGCCTGTAAATAGCGTAAATATACATTGACTAACAATGCAATCAAGGATTGAATAGTTATCCGGATCTAATTCTAAGTGTTCCTTCACTTAACACCTCCTCCTGTTTTAAACTATGCACTATCCTGTAATATCTTTTCTTCCGACCACTGCCTGCCTAATTTCATATTCTCGAGTTCCATTGCCAAACGACAAGCATGACACTTCTAAAAAATTACGGTGAGTTCCAGCTATAATTTTTCTGCAATCATAAGTTCATTTTAGATGGCTCATTCAATGGCACACACAATTATCTGGATTCATTCAGTTGTTCTGATCAGAGCGAGTCCCAAAAACCTTAACAGCATCAAGCACCCTGGAAGTGATTGCCATTCTGAATGTTTTATTCTGGATGCTTTTGGATCATTACTACTCCTCACGAATGGCGTTATATATGTCGTCCACTGAATAATCTAATTTTCAAAAATAATCCAGGCAAGTTCAACTATTTTACTTAATGATTTTTGTACTTAACATGTATATATTTTCCAGTTGCTTTTGCCATATATTTGTAAGTGTCCTTAGGCTAAATGCAGTAACTTCTTATGGAATGTTTATAACGCGTCATATTCCTGCCTGAAGTTTCACAAGCAGTCTTAACTTTAAAATTATTTATCTGGTCATGTTCATTATTTTTAAATTTTTATATACGTCAACAACCTGCATGTTAACCTGGCCCGCACATACGTTACACTATATCTTCATGTCTTCTAAATTTAGGAATCATCTGAATCGCCTTTAACATTTATCAATAAACCCATCATAGTCGTTGTTGCTAATCGTATTTGGGTTTATGGATTGGTTCATCGTATTAGCAGCCTAAAATGCGAACATAGTTTAGATTAAAAAACTACAAAATTTAGGTACTATCAACTACACTAGTAAAATAACTAATTCCCTAGGTAGCTGTTGGCTAAACAAACGTTTAAAATCAAAACTCCGTAGCCTACTAGAATTAACACTAAACGAATCTTTCTGAATTAAAATTTATAATTAAATTAGGCGTCTCGGATTCTTTAGCGTTACAAATTTCTGATAATCTCGAATCACCTAAAGCAACAATACCTATTTTTCCAGTGGCTAATCCTCAATCAACACTATAACTAGTTTAACATAATAGTTTCAGGATATCGTCATAAAGCATTGTCATGACTTGACAATCACGTAATATGATTGATAAAATTAATGAAACTATTAACAAAATCGGTCAGCAGATTGACTTATAATTATCACTAGTGTTGTTTTTTCTTTTATCTTCATTCACTACAGATGATTACAGTATGTTTCTCTTTCAGATGCTCACTCAGTAAATATCTCGAAACCTTGTCAGTCTAATTGATGGTTTAGCGACACAATCATGCATGCAAATAATCGGTATAAGCAGTCGAGCAAATCTCCTGCAAACTGAAAACATCAATGTCGAATTTACCCCAACACTGACTAAGGTTCAAGCCATTATCATAGACACGAGTTGGGAGTGTACTCCCCTTGGTTACAACTTATGTACTCCCTGATAATCACATGAGCATCAATCACGGTTAATCATCTTGTAAATACTTATTTAACCGAGTACATCTTACAGCACCACATCACTTAGTAATGTGACACAGGCTTAACTGATTTCAGTAACTTATAATCACCATATCTCATTTAAATCGTATTCTGCCCGCATACGTGCGACTAACTTGTATGCCCATCAGCCGGCAAGTATAAATATAAATAAATAGTCTATCGCAGATCAGAACATTGAGTCTAGAGCATGTCTCTTACGAATACACTCATGTTTAACGATTTGTTCCTAGCTATCTGTCCCAAATTCATATAATTATCACTCACGTGTTTAAATTTTATTTTGACAACCATTCATGTGTATTAGTAGTATTACTAAATTCTATCACGGTCAAGTAAAAATGAGGTTGAGGAAATCCCCCCGTGACTAAATAAAACTTATCAAACTAACTGGAACACTACTTGGAATTCTCCACGGTAATACTTTTGTTCCTTCAGTTAGCCTACTAATACAGATGCAATTGGAAATCAATTCATATGGACAACTTACCGGCATAATCGTTATTTGATTTCATAATTTAAACCGAAACTAATACCAATATTAACATTTCTACAATATTCATTACTTTAATATTTCTAAACACAAAGTACTACCTATACGTTAAGTTATTAACCAACGGCTATTAACACGCATCGTTTTATTATTATTATTGTAACCCCATTTTCTATAGCTCAAATAATTTTCTCCCAAATTTTCATTTCAAGCGTTTTAAGCATGAAGGCAGATATTTTAAAATCATTACATGTATTTCCCGACCAGATGCTGCCGCCTTCTTTTTGATTTATCTTTCAGCTTACCAATACCCGGGGGATTCTTATTATCCTTGGTAACCTCCGGCGCGCGACGATCCCATCCAATTTGGTATCGAACCAACATCACGTTGATTCTGGTGGGAGAGTAGTGTAGTGGCATTGGACAATAGCCACACACAATCCACAAAGCTGTGAACACGAGACTACTCAGAAAATAGATATTCAATATTTAACTCGGGGAAATATCTAACAATGGAGAAGGCGCGGGGAATGAATTAAATTGACTGGAGTTGATCGAGTGGCATGGCTCGACCATGCAGGCGTGGTCTCTGCTGAATGTTACCTTATATCTTCTATTCATATTAAATATATTGTTCTTTCTCTAACCTAACCTTGTTCTACATCATATATTGGTAATTGATACGATACAGTGAGTTGGTGTAGTCGATGGTGTGACTTTCACGTAAGATCTTATAGATTAGGCAGTTAAATCATGACAAACTTACAAATTTAGGATTAGGTCTATTATAAGAGCAGTACTACTATCATAGTAGACCATAATTCTACACATCTGAGGCCTAATTCTCACGTCCCGGTCAACAGCACGCGTCATCTGCACTATCTACGAACGAGACGACAGTCTCACGTCCAGACCTGCTGACCACGCTATCTCTGACCTCGGATGAGATCGCAGGCACACGAGATACGAACGAGACTACCGTCTCACATTCCGGTCGTCAAGTACGGTTGCCCGTACGTTTCCGCGACTGGCAGCACAGCTAACAACAGATGCGGTGTAGGACTATTCCTATGCTGCATGCATGCTACACTCTTCTTCTTTTTTGTTTTTTTCTGTATCCTGAGCCCAAGCCTCCGGACATCCGCGTTTGGTACCGTCGACTCCAGTCAACTTTGGAGAAAGCTGGCCTGATCACCCACGCTCTTGTCAACGCACTCATTCGATATTCTGGTTTCGAATCTGCCTGGCACATGTTTGTTTTCTCACTTCGTCGTTATGGTCGCTTCTGGTTTCTTGGCTCAACGTGGTTTCGTCCTACGTCTGCAGCGTTTCTGGTCCGCATCCCTACGAACGCAACCTTCAGATTCTGGATACAAACCACTCTGGTGTGGTATGACAACTCGAGTAACAAATATAGCACACACCCCTGGTACCGTTCTCCGAAAAACACCTTCGTTGGCAACTCGACGACCAACGATCGCTTTCCTGTTCCGCCAATTCTTCTGTCCCACAATCGCTCGTCAGCCGATCAGTCCCACGATTTTAACTGCTACTTATCGAAAGTGTGAATTACTTTTATCACGAGAACATGATTGGTTTAATGAAAACAATCTAATTGTTACCAATTGTACCAGTCCTTGAATTATTGTGCTCCTTGTTTAACTGTGCTAATGACAGCCATATTGTGCTTATATTATTATTCTTACACTTTGGTTGTGATCTCGCGCGAATTCGATCACGCTCTGTAACCAAGCTTGTATCCTGGCACGACCTCGGTATTCTTTCGATACCACGAGATCGCCAGCAAATATATCTCGACTTGTTCCGTTAACTGCCTTTTGATATTTGGCTTCTGGGGGATTTTATGGATATCCTGGCACGCGTTCCTTTTGTAGTGGTGTTCATAGTCAACCGCGACTCGTCACCACACTATAGGCTCATACACATGTTCATTAATAGTGTCAGATATGTGCATCAGTTGTCAATGAACTGCTTTTCCGTCAAAAATCGTTACACAGCGAAATATTGTTGTCTCCACAGTCAAAAATGCATATTGGTCACTAATACATTTTCAAGTATTCGGCTACAAACTCATGAACATAAACAAATCAAATGAACATATTCAATAGAGATAATTTCAGAAGAATAAAATACTGGTAAGTGCACTCAATAATGTTTTTAGTTCAAACGTTGGAAATTTAAGTGAAGGTTTGGTTATTTTCAGTTGGTAGCGCTCTTTTTGAGATGTGACCTTGAGAGATGCAGAATCCTAACAGTATTCTTAACTTAGTTCTGATTGGCTTTCATCACAGGAAGGGGTCTGTTGTAAGTAGTTTGCTTCATAAACAAGTTTGATTTCACAAGGTTGAGCTAGTCTATCCCTCACTCTCATGTGATGGTTCTGATCCTACACATCTCCCTCATCCTTGGCGTCATTTGCCTGCTTTAGCAATAGCCGATGGAGCCCATAACTACACAAAAGGTTGGTCACAAAAATAATTAGTTAATTTATTCAGATTGCACATATTTCAGCTTACCTTCAATAGAGAAGAAAGATGTTGCTGTCTTTGGAATTGCTTGTTACCGCCAGGCAGACTCGGCTGTAAGTTTTCATGTTTTTTAATGACTGATTGTATTATCTGGCAATAATTTGTTAAAGAATACATTCCACCATGCGGTTACAACTGACGTCACTGCCCCGCTGCAGATATTTTAGTCTATTCAAATGAATTATTTTTAGAGAATCTTCATGAAACTGCTGCATTGCTAACAGAAATATATTTTGTCAAGGTGTCAACCTACCGTGACGTTATTCACATCGTCTGGTAAGCTAAAAATTCCTATAGAGCTCCCAGTATTATCGTCTGAGGCTTCTTGTCCTGGTGTCCAAACTGATAATTACTCTGTATTAATATTTGGATATCTGATGTAGTGGCTCATACTGGCCCACAATTTTTAGACAAAGATGCTCTGAACTAAACTGCTGTGTCTGAACCAGTTTTTCTTGTCTGATTTTTCTTTTTTTTCCGGTCATCGATGATCAGGAAATATAACTCTCCATTAATTACTTATTTCTTATTATCATCAAAAAGCGAAAAGTTGACAGATTTTAATTGCACTTTCCATTTTTAGTCGTATGTTCAACCGAATCCTGAGATCACTCGAAACACTGTACAAAAAAGCTTGGTTGTACTATCGAGATTTGTAAGTAGTATACAATAATCCCTATTGTGTGTTTTCATTTGTAATCGTTTTAGGCAAATATAGTTACCACTTAAATCCATTTTTTAAGTTTTCAGCTATACACAATCTTGACAACCAAACTAAAGTATATTTTTATCGTTCGGATACTCATACTCTTTGTTTTCTGTGTCCTAATTATTACTATTACTGTGGCACGTGTAAGTATTTAATTATAGCGAACGCCAGTAGTACATAGTTATGATTGGATTGACCCCGGTCGTTACCACTACAATTGTTGTTTCAATACGCATAAGTTTAAAATCTGTTTATAATTATTTTCAAAGTATATACTATGAAAAACAATTCACTTCAGGGTATCGCAAAATATACTTCGATGTCTTTGTTGTTGGCTTAGGATGCCGAACTGGGCAATGTAGTCACTTACTACGTTGACTTCATTTGAACGTGCGGGCTAGGAAGTTTACAATGAGGCTCTACTTTTATATTTTTCAAAGTACAAACTATTAATAGGTAGTGTATATCCTTATCATTACCAGTTTTTACCCAAATATTTAAAAAATCATTTTTTCTTCATAGTTAATTTTATAGATACATGAAAATTAGCTGTCGAGTCTCGAAATACCTAATTGATCTATCCTATGGATTCCATATTCTGTTAAGGTGAATCTAAATGGATTTAGGAGGTAGTGTAAATCTATGTCACTGCATCACAGAGTTTTGATTATTAGATCTTGATTTCTGACTTCACACAGATTTCAGATATCGATAGCCTCAACATGTGTTTTGGAGCGCGGTTTTACAAGGCCATAAACATTTCATAAGCTCCAATTATTTGTGTTAGTTGCATTTGATGTAAATCAAGCTATCGAGGAAACATTGATAAGGGAAGTGAGTGTAAGTGAGACGCTCTCGGAAAAAGCTGATACTTATCTGCTATCAGCCCAGACGTTTAAAACGATGGGCGGGACACTTTAAGGAGTTCAGCTGGCCCTCAGCTATTCTATAGCTGCCCACTATTCCCAAATAGTCTGAATGAAACATTGATGTAGCCCCCCCGACTCTAATTGAAGTTCAAAAAGCTATAGCTAATCTGAAACGAGGAAGGGCAACTGGTCCAGATAAATTGCCTTCAGATGTCTTTAATTTTAGTGGTCCAGTTTTAACGATTAGGTTGACTAATATTTTAGCTAAAATCTAGGAGTTGGACATAATCCCATCTGACTGGTCGCAATCACTTGTCCCAATATATACAGAAATCTGTCTAAATCATCCCGTGATAGCCATGTACTGATTAGTTTGAGTAATATGGCATCTAAAATACTAGCTTCAATAATAATCCTGTTTGGTGAAGACGCTGATAAAATGCATAGTGTTTTGTTAGCACTGAGAAACAATGCCAGGATGTTTGGAATGCGTTTCTCACTTTCTAAATGCAAATTGTTGCTTCAGAACTGATCTGCGTCAACATGTGAACCGAAAAGTAGAGTGAAGTAGTCGAACGCGTCGACAACTTCACTTATCTTAGAAGTCTGGTCAGCCCCAATGGGTTGGTGTCTGACGAAATCTCTGCACGGATTGAGAAAGCTCATTTGGCTTTTGCCAACTTATGTCACCACCTATGGCGAAGGCAAGATATCCGTCTGTCGATTAGAGGACGGGTGTACTGTGCGGCAGTTCGTTCTGTTTTACTTTACGACTGCGAAACGTGGCCATTAAGAGTAGAAGATATCACTAATAATTCTTAGAGTACAGTGAAAATCAATTTACTCCAAGATTATAAAAAGATCAAGTAATCAAAAAGACTAAGTTATTAATTCGCTATGGTGAAGTTCTCAATTAAAATTTGTCGACTTTGCTCATTCCAACCTTCGTCCAACCCTGTAATTAAAACCCATAAAAATACAAAAATAGCTTTTATGTGTATCGTTTTAAAGCGCTACTGGAATTTAAAAAGTGCAAAGATAACCGCATTTTAAGTGGTCTTATTATCCTTGATACTGTTCATAGTTTATCTTATGTAATACATTTTTTTACTTCACACATTTCAGTGCAGATAGTACTACCTGTTCTTCAGAATGACAGGTGGTTGTGATGAAAATGTCCCACTTGATCTTGGTTAATCGTACAATCACACTTTTTTTATATTTATCACCAGTCTTAATTTAGAGGGACTTAAAAGTAGATAACCTATTCAGTACAGGAACACGTTATAAACAACGTAATTCTTGAAGTGAATAATTTCATTTTTTAGCCCTTTTAGTCATTTTATTTTCTAACGTGTAATTTCTCCCATCAATTGGGTTTTTTCCAATTCTCCTTGCTAATCGACCTCTATTCATTCCAATCCCAAGTAAACAACATTTCCAATGGATGTTGATGTGTTGGACGTTTCACACCTATGTACATGTATCACGAAAATGTGTGCTGAATCTTGACATTTCTCAGATATCAATAATGGTACTTGGTGTTATATAAAAGACTTCATGATCTAAATATTCCACTGCAAGTTGTATGTTCATTATATAATACCTCATGTCACTTAACTGTAAATACAAGTAATTTACAGTAATAAAACCTTTCGATTGATGTCGGTTCCATTCAACCGTCAATATCACCCAGTAGCATATTTAATTACAATATATTACTGTTTGCAATTTTTTAATTTGTAAATATTTTCTCTTTTACTTTTTTTCTCTAGCCACTTTTTAGTTTCATCGCCCATCATCTTACGACAATAATTGATAATCTGTTTAAAAGCAAAGGTTTTACTCCAGAAAGTCTCCAGAACTCATATGAACAATTAAGTCATTTTGTAGATACTGTCTTAGGTGATCCAGTTTCTTACCAAGGTATGGTTATATGGTGTGCTTAATTTTCAACTAATTAGCTTTTTTTCCTAGTAACCGACTTTTGAAGCGCTGTTATGATTGGTTCACAAAATAGCTTTTTGACACAGAACATACCGATCCACAATAAAAGCATTACTTTAGAAAAATCAACACGTTAACAAATTATTTGACTTAGTAACCACTTATCTGAAGTGTTTAGCAAAGTATATACTTGAACGTAAATCATTTTTGTTAATCATAGGGTCATTGTAGGACATTAAGCAGACGATAAATTCGGTCCCATAATTCGTAGTCTAGTTTCTGATGTGCACATCAAGGTTATGTATTGGAATTACACTTGGTTGAATAGTACGAGATAAAAGTTTTGTACTGATGAAAACTCCAAAACCTTTGGTGAAATGTCCGTGTACAAATTTCTTAAAGCAATAAACAGTTGTTACCCTCACCACAAAATGCATACTATCACACTTTTATCAAAAACATACCCTACCGAATTGTTACTTTGATCACAATGAGTCTTTCGCTAAGTGTTCATCTTCAGTAAAATTGATTTCACTTTATTTCATATATTTGAAAGAAAATGAATAAAAAATCAGCTCATTCACCAGGTACTTGAATATCAGTCACACTCTAAATGTGAGAGCTAACGCCACTACTCGACTGCTGAAACTGCTATAGGTGGAGCGGGATTGACATAAATAGAACTTAGGTATTTCTTTAACTAAAAATAGATTACTAATTATTTTCGTATCGTTAAAAACAATTACATTCATTAAAAGGTTTTAAACATATGACTGTTTTATAAATGTCTAGTGAAAAAAGAGCTTTGTTACACTCACTATTTACGAATTCATTGTATATGTGTGTGATGTCGACAATTGATTCGTAACTAGCAGATGTCAGGTCCCGATTCAGTCAACTGGATAACATTACCATCAGAGCACATAATAGTCACTTAAACTGTAAAATTGTATTTATAAGTGATTTTTTTACATGGAGTATTATATTCTTAAGTAGGCTGTGCTGCGAAATTATCAAACTAATCCAAGTATTGACTGCAAAAGTCTGTAAACATTAAGTGGCATTCTTCATTTAATAAACTTACTTAAGATTTCAAGTATAGAATGTAATAACCTATAAATAAAATGGTGTTATTTCGAAATAATTGATATTGTCGAAAGTTTTCAGGTATTGAATAAAATGGATATTGTATCATTTAGCAAAGTAATCAAAATTTATTAAAATGTTAAGCTGTGCAAGTTTTAGACTTATTAGGAACTAATAATTTGCACAATAATCATCTCATATATGAGAGAAAAAAAGTGAAGAATAAGATAAAACTTGGCACTTTCTATTAGTAAAATTAAAAGGGGTGATAAGTTCATGGAAGAAAAATGAGTTGAAGGTGACTTTTTTGCACAGAGTTTGGGTTTGAAATGATGAAATCCTATCCACAAATCTTCGAACCAGTTTTTTTTAACTTCTTAGATGATTTTAAACGACACTTCTTGTGATGGCGTGTAATTAGATGTGGTCATGTTCACTGATTGAACCGTTATTCAATTTTCATTGACCTTTAGATTTCTTTACAGATTAGTGCAAGAATATTTGTTTACTAAGTCCATACTTTATGTAACTAACATAACCTGTTCCATGAAAGTAAGTAATAAATCCACAGTGAAACGGCACAAGATGACCGTTTGTCCTTGAAACTTCCCCGAATGTGGTTTTCAGTAGAATAAACAATTCGAATAAAACATCTTTCTGAAAGATCTATATAGTCTTTTTTTAAAATATCTTTTCAACTTTATCTTCCCTGAATTCACTGTTCATGAATAAAACTTCGGAATTTCGTGAGTACTTTGAACTTGACATTTTGGTTTCAGATTGCTATCAATAGACTTGGTCGGAGAACTGTGGTGTTTGCTACCGATATTGGTGTGGAGACGAAGGGACAATAAAGTCTGAGACAACTGATTGACATTTTGCAAATGAAGTATTTACTGTATGGTTCTCCAATATTGCTAAAAGATTATGTAATTTTGTGTTTAAATACATTCGGTTGTCCTCACTGGTGTTTTCGTTCACTACAAAACCACCCTCCAAAAATATTCGGCAGACTTTACTCATTTCGTCATCAATTATCTCTTCTGTACATCTTTGTCTAGTTATTTAGGGTATAGAGGGGATTAAATATCTCTTCCTACTTACCAGCATTCAACTCTGGAAGTTCGTATGACTACCCGTCCCAGGTTGGCCTTTTGTATATCTATAGTTATAAAGATCAAACTTGTCTTCGTTGCTCTGATAAATTTAATAGCTACCATTCTAGTCCAAATTAACTTTCTTCCTAATAACTGATTTTAACTTGAAGCTGGAGCATTTCTCTATAAATGACTATTTCCGAGTATGCTGACTAATCTGAGTTGGTAGTTCAGCAAATATTTGCATAATTCACAACAAAAGCTCTATAGAACACTTATTATTATAAACAAAAGTTTCGTTACATTTTCAAAAATTATTTTATTTATCAGTTATTCGCCTATCGTAACTACCTTTTTTTTCAAGATTGTCGTACATTAGTGAAAACTTTAATGAATTTCTGTTCTATTGTTGTTTTATAATCTTATTAACTTTTCTATTTTTGTTTTCTATTTCAACATCTTCATAGATGCACTATTTTATAATCTAAGTGCGTCCAATTTTGTTCGCGTTTACAAACGTGACGCATTATGTCTGTTCAAATTACTTTTATTGGAAAGACGTATTTTATTTACGGGAGATTCTGGCGGAACTCTATCAAATTGGATGTTAACTTTACTCAGTTTGTATCCAGGTAATCAAATTTATGTTATTTATTTCTTGTAATAATTTTTGTCTTCCATACAATTTCTAATCACAATTTATTTGAAAGTGTAAACATTCATTAAGATATGTAATTTCACAATACAATTTTAATTATAGTTTATGTAATCAAATTCACTGCTAAGTTTTTTGATGATCTGATAGTATTATAAATTATCTTGACATATATATTGACAGGCCATGAACTCACGAAAATCAAGGTTTTTAAATGATTGGGCTAATTTAACTTAAGGAATATAGCCCTAGAAAAATGAAAAGGTGTTTTTGACAGCAAACTCAGGTTCATATCCAGAAAGACGGTTTGATCTATGCAATGAATTCAAAACATAGTGCTATAAATGCACTAATCTCCTTCCCCCAACTTTCATATGATTGTAAGCCCTTGCATTATTTTCCTCGCGAGGAGAAACCAGAAAGAACTATAAATCAAACTCTAATACATATGTAACTGAACTATTTTAGATCAGAAGAAATTATGTTAAACAAGGATAGGGCGTTTTGCTGTTATATATATATATATATATATATATATATATATATATATATATATACTAGTAATTTTGTCTAACCTATTATTAGGGTGCTTGCCAGTCAATTCTTCATCCAAGAGAACAGATGAGGTTGATATATTTTACATTTTACTCTCTACTGCTGATTTTATCATGAATACATTGGTTGTTATATCTCTTTAATTAATATTTCTGTTATCGTACGTTTCAACAGATATGTTACGTAGTGGTTTGTCACAATGTTCCGTTATTGATCCCTCATGGATTTCAGAAACAAGTTATTGGTCTAATATGAATGATTCCAGTTCAAATAGCTTTAATTCTTATCAGTATTCATTAGAGGGATCATTAACTAAGATCAGTGGACAAGTGTCAGAACAGAATACAGATTCAACTCTAAATAAAGTAAGCTTTCTTGTATGTGTCCAGGAACATCTTCATTTGTTATGGTTCTCAATGAAAAATTGTGATGTTAAATATTGCCGTTGATATATAACCTTTCTCACTAATCATTTACAATTACGTTTTAGTGTTGGTTATTTATTATCGCACTGGAGAGACCAGGTTTTGTATATTTTCTGCGCTTTCTAGATGTCTTCATTTTCAGTACACCATAAGTATAGGTTTAACAACTGTTTCACAAACTCAGTCAAGAAAAACGATTCATTCTACAATTGGTTGTTGGAAGTCTTGTATACGAATAACTATTTGTTAAACGGTGTATTGAGTAGTCAATTGTTGTTAAGTTATAAGATATTTTCAAATGTATCTATAAATACTACTAATGTTTCGTTATATGAATTCTTAAATCTACTTTGTTAAAGCTTACTGGACAAGGAATAATAGACGACATTTCACTGGCTGCTTTAATCACGTTTCTTGTTCCCTGATCATTGCGTCAGTGCTCAGTAGTTATATTTCTTACAAAATTCGATTCATATATGTAGGTTGCTCAATGGAGTCGCTTGAAGCTCTATATATACTACCAAAAAAGACCATGGTTTAGTGTAACTTGTTTGTTACTTGGAATCAAGTATTTACTTCTATGAATTCGGTGTTCATCTTGTTTTGCTAATGAGGTATGGCAACTCGGACCGATGCAGTTATGTTCCTGGTCCTACGTTGTAGCTGACTGACTGACTTGGAATCAAGTATTATTAATACGGAATTATTGTTTATTTTATAGCCTTGGATAATGTACTCCTAGTTTCAATGAATAATATTGAATTGTAATGAAAGCATCATCGGATTCTCCTTAAATATCTATTCCATCCGTTTGTATTGGTTACTTTCATTCAAACAGAAAATAAACTTCCAATTAGTCATCTCCACTTTTTTCATTCTTTCATGTCCTTAACTTTTTCACAACAATAATAACTCATTTCAAATCCATTTCAATCTTCTAGGAAGAAGACGTTCAGCTTACTTCAAATGTTGATTCCAAGAACTCAGGTTTGTTTATTGGCCTATTATATAAAGATATTGTACGTGCTTTTTTTCACAAGTTCTCATTTTTATAATATGGGCGAATGTTTAATGGTGTCATCAAGACCCTAATGATATGTAATGATTATTCGAAACGATACTTTCACCAACTATACTGCAATTATGACACTATGGCACATATACAGGGTTATTAATATCGCCTATCTATCAGTACCAGCCTTAGTGAATTGTTTACAGAACCCATTTTATAGCTTTTGTTAAAAATGACATCAGATGTGTGTTATTTTCATATGTAAACAACCGAATACTCATCTATATCGTATAAGCCATTTTACTTCGTATTTTCTATGGTATCTACTTATAGCCGTTTCGGTAGGTGCAGAATTTGAGGTCGATGTCTACGTGATTGTTCCAATCAATGGTTGGAGACGTGATATATTTGAGAATCAGTCGTAGTGAAACAGATACGTTCACTCATCGTCTTTTATAAGCTCTCAAGTATTAAATTATCTTACATTTTTATTCTTGAATCATATTGTTTATGTTTAATGTTCACTACTACCATTAATAATGCTACTATATCTACTACTATGACGTTCATCTTGAGAATTTTGGCTCTACGTACTCAGATGGTGATGATACACATATGTGAAAGGTTCAACATTGCTTATGACTGACTTCTAATTTCTCTTCATTGTATCACCTGATGGTTTATATGAGCATATAAGTTATTTATAAAGATTTACTAAGGTGAAAACCGTTTTTAAGAAATTCTATACCCAGTTCATGGTCGGATTGACAATTTAATCTGCCAACCAGCATTTTGTAAATACTCATTCTATTTTTGGTTTCAGCCAATAATATTGATCCACAAAGAACTCATATAATAACTGTATCTGACACATTGCATACGGAATCAAAACAATCTGTAATAAATGAGTCATATAAAAAATATCAAACCAACAATTTTCTGGAGAAAATAACTGACGATTCAATGTTCAAATTTTCGTTAAATTCACCATTTCCTACTGATGATTGGGGATTTCCTTTATCTGTATTTACGAAAGTGAGTTTTTTGTTATTCAGTTCTATGACTTGAATAATTTTCTCTAATTTACTATACCGTTAGACATAGATTATGCTTGAATAATTTTTCAATCATACTTGCTACAGTTAAATAACAATTATTTTTTGCACAAAGTAGTATAAAACCTGTTTCCGTAGTGTATTTTTTAATTTTTCAGTTTTGAACCAACATCAAATGTAATACCAGGGACATAATCTAATGAAAGAAAACCTTTATCGGTATCATTTGTGGAAACAAATATGTCTGTTGGCATTTATTAGGAAACATTTTCAATTCTTAGGAGATCTCAGCTATATCAAGTAATCTGGCAAAACTGAGCTATCAAATCGCGAAGCACCATGTTCAACTGGAGCTTCTCATAATTTTGGCAAACATTTTATAAATTCAGTGACATCCAACACATGAAATATATGCATTTATTTAACTGTCCAAGTATAAAAAAAAGAACACCTCTCGTCCACTAAATTAGATTTTAAGTTAAATCATGTAGGAATTTTAGTTATAACTAGTTCCTCCTTGTTGGTTTAATTGATATTTATCTAGTAGTGACATTTTAAATTTTCAGATTATTGTATGTTTGTTTTCTACTTGAATAAGTCAGTAGTTAAACATGTTCAAAGAGGAAATTCCAAACTGAATGCATTTTATGTAGTCATCAACATTCATCTAAAAGTGAAGTTCTCTGTTTTTCAGCAACAGAAACTGGCGTACTTTTCACATATTAGTTATACGTTTTGTACAATTTGTGAAGTATGGCAGGAGTCAGCATTCAAATCACGTCTAATTAACATGACATCATTCTCATAGGTTCTTTCACTATCTCCTCGCATATACTGTCACTCATTTATCCTACACAGTTTCGCATACCCATCTTTAAACATACTGTTTTTGTGTGATGATTGATAAGGTTGAACTAGAAACCAAACCAGGTTAGTGGGATGGTGTTTGAACCTTTGACTACAGTAGTTGAAAGTCGAACGCCGTAGTAAGTGAACTACCGGTCCATATCGACGACTTCAACCGTCTCACTACTGTTGTCTCAATTTATTTGTAGCAATTTCTGTCAGTTACCAGATATAAATAACGCTTTCAACTGGGCGATAAACTCTGACATTCAGGCTTTATGATCCTTACCTAAACTTTGTAAAAAATTTTCCGTATAAAATTTAAAAACAATCATCGGTGGTTAGTTTTGTCAACATATTTAATGTGTCCAAAATGCCGTCTGCAACGCATAAAATTTATAACATATCATACAGAATGTTCGTCGAATTTTACCTATTGTTTTTCTACAGTCTTATTTAGCGCCTATGTATATTCCCCTTGGTTTAATGGATAAACTACTAGAACATTCTAGTCTTCCTATGTCATTCAGATCAAGTATTAATTCACCATCATCTGGAAATCAGATTCTGACTTTAACCGATCGATCAGTACGTGGTTTTGTAGCCGGTGCAACCAATCCCTTATTGCAATCAAACAAACAACTAACTGAGGTTTTCGTGTCATCCTTATCGCCTGTTAAGGATATTTGTGAAAACTACTTCCCGCATTTGTCTGAACTAACCGGTGCATTTGGAAAATCGACCTTTGGAATAGAAACAGATTCTATGTCGAGTCTTTCACTGTCTGAAAATTCAACGAAAACTTCTTATTCCATTAATGTCGATAGTGAAAAGAATACACAAAACACGGGATCCAAAGTTTCAAATTTTTCACGACCATTTTCTTTGGTAAGTAATCAAGTGTCGATAGATTTGTCTTGGTTTGTATATAATTGAAATAAAATGTTCTTTTTTAATGCTTAGTTAGAGATTTACACACTTTCATCCACAAGAATAGTTGTCCCATGACTTACTACTGAAGTAATAGTTATACATTCCCAGTAGTATTTTACTGACATAAAAATATCGTTTGTTTTACTTTGTCTTGTCTGCAACACAATAAGTTTTCCGATCTTGACAGTAATCTATCATTATGAGAAGGATGTTCTTACTAGTATTAGTTTCAGTTATTTAGTTGATAAAAGTCAGCATTTATCCGATAGGCACTACCATATTCCACAATTAACAAGAAATTCACTTTGATGTATCATCTTTTAATTCGACTCAGGATCCCTCAGACTTCAAAGTGAACTTAATAACATCCTGAGCTCTTTGTTCAACAACTTTTACTCACATTTGTGGTCAAGCTTATTTTTACTTATCGTTAATATTTTATTATTATGTATTGTTCTTACATACAATTGTGGTATTCGCTTTTATTTCCATTTCAGCCCAAAAGATCACAACCAATCATTCAAATAAATTCAGAAAACATTACTGATAAGTATCCTGTCAACTCACGCTCTATGCCTGTTCCACTGAACCGTGCATTGCAACTAAGTCGTACTGATAGATTGTTTATTGATCATTTGGTAATGACTGTCAATACATGGTACAGTGCACAAATAGACTATTGTCAACAATTGTCTTCCAAAAAAGGTGAATTGGTAACATCCCATAGCTTTCATAGATTAGATCAATTGGATACAGAAACTTTGGAACAGCTCACATTAATCCAAAAAACAGCCTTATTAAGATTTCCATGTGAGTATTTATTGTTATCATCCGAGATTTTCCGTCTTATAATTTTGTTATATGATAATTGTGTCTGCTAATCCAAACTATCCCATTTCAATTGAGACACTTATTCACTTCTGTTCTGCACCTTATGAAGTAATATAATATGACAGAAATCAAAATATTCTAGGTTCAAAATCAGTATACACCGGTGACTGTTGAGTGGCCTTGAATCGGACTCCGATTTGATCATGTTTTTTTTGCTATCGAAGTATACATGTCGCCAATCCTCGCATATAATCATCGACTTAAATCGCGTTGGTGAATAATGAAAGTAAGTCAAATACGAGAATGGATTTTTGAATACGTATATTTCGTACAATCGTTGATCGGAAAGCGAAGCAAAACGAAATAATGTGCAATGTAGAAGGTGAATGAACCAAATCGATTTAACCAAGCGTGAATCGATATTTACAGTCAGATAAAGATAAGTTACAGACATGTGATGAGTAAGATAAGAAATGCGCGAATAATTAACAAGGTCAAAATGTCACTCAAGAAGAATGAATAAATTGGCCTGTCCGCAAGGTAGAATAGGCTATGTGAGTTTAACAAAGTAACCGATACTACAACTGTACTACCTTTTCACTTGCAAAATTATAAGTTATAAACAGACATTTCTGTAAATAATACATCCCACAAATTTTTAGTGTTGGACTTAAGATTGAAGAGAATATGAAAGACATTCATCTGTATAAAGATTGCATATGAATGCTCTCAACTATTTGTTTTTTAATATGTGTCAGTCAGTCAGCTACAACGAAGGACCAGACACATATACGCATCGGTTGAAGCTGCCACATCTCATCAGCACAACAAAACGAACACCAAGTTCATAGACGTAGTCACTTCAATGGTGATAATACATAAAAGAAAGAATTAGTTGGTAGAAATAAATATATAAAGTAATTTTAATCCGACGGTTTAAGGGAAGACAAGGAGTATATACATCGACGCCATTGTGATCGATTTTGGACCGTGTCACCCAGAGTCACGCGGATCCCAACCAAGTAACCTGCATCTGCCAACCTGGCTAAGATCAGAAGTTAGTGACTTTGTGGATTGATGCCACGTTTTGGTTTGGCCGACCCTAACTTTTTTCCAACCATTTACAACACCAATCAGCATTGCGTGTCGTGAAAGTCGGTAGGTGGGAATACGTAATATATGACTCAACCATCTCAGTTGGTGTAGATTGACGACCTCATCAACTGATTCACCATCATTCCCTAATACTGTACGTCTAACCTCACTATTACTTACCCAGTAATCCCAGCAGATGCGAGCAATTTGAATTCAATTAAACCTTTCATTTATCAAAGAGTAATCATTAAATTGTTATTATATATTTAATCTCTCATTTTGTCATCAACTTGATCATGTTTCCTTAATGAATTAATCAAACATTTCATTTAGCTAAATATCAGAGGTTCATGTCTTCATTACTTCTAATGAAACTAATAAAATAGAAGTTTTGTTAGTTAAGCTAAAATTGTTCATTTAAATTTTTGTGTGATTTTCTCGTTTAAAAATTTGCCAAACTAAGTTTTTAAAAAAACTACTATCCACGTGAAAATTACTACTTATTTGTTGGCACTCATCAACAATGACTTTTTATCTCTATATATTTTATTAATATTGACAAATCTTTTTTGTCAATTTGTAGGTATAGTCAGTTTAATACAATAAGGTAGACAGATATATTTATCGTATAATGATGATTTACAGGCAATCACATGATAGCAATTTTGTAGAACAATATGTATCTTAATGTATTCACAGTTGTGTATAAAACTATATGTTCTAATCAACATATAGGACTTTAGAAAAATATCCATGGACTCGATTTGTCTCACCATATCAGCACAGTAAGATCAAATTAACAAAATGAGTCGAAGTAATTTTAGGGTTCCTGATAAGGTTTAAAATAAAAGAATGTATTCGTAGAGTGAAAAGTTTCAAAACATATTGCAACACCATCCATTTTGATTCATGTTACTGAGTATCTCCAACCAAAAAGTAAAACATTGTCACTGAAATAAGTTAGTGCATATTCAATTATAGAGTTATTTTAAGAACTGTAGTCTGTTTAAAATTCACTTTAATTACGTAATTGAACTTGACTCTTTTGTACACAGAAATCAGGTTTACAATATTAAATTTTTGCCACTTCAGGTTAGTACAAATCCCCGATCCAAATCTCCTTTAAACCAATAATAAATATATTTTTTGTTATATCCTAATGAGTAGAAAAACTGTATTCATGACGTTTCGTGACTTAATTTGGGCCACTTCTTCAGAGTAAATAAGTGACTGAAATAAATTAACACAATTCTAAATAGTACAATGATTTTAAACAACGAATGACGTGGTAACATGTGACCATGTGCGAAGGATTGAGTGGTTTATCGATTTCTGTTCTCTTATTAGATATAGCCATACAAAGTAGTTTTGGAATATTTGTTTACCAACTACACACTTTTTACGACCAATGTAAACTGCTCCACAATATCAAGTAAACTGGTAAATGCATTTAATTTATGGAAGTTTCTAAGATAAACTTCCGCTTTGGGTATACGTTGTCAGGTATTAATACTTTTACTGTTATGTAACTTTCTGTACATATATTGTCTTTTTTTTTCGTTTTATTTATTTAGCTCAAACTATTTTAGATGCTTGGATACGACAACAGTTTTTAATTTATTTAAGAGCATTATTATTATCTGCTCAAGGTTACAGTAAGTTGTTTCTTTGCAGTTTCTTTTCACTGCTGTATGTTTACATCCTATGGATATAAGTTGTCAGATAAATTCTTTCTTTTTTATCGTGAACTAATTGCATAAGTAATCAAGTGGTATGTTCGTGACTTAATTATCATTTCAATCTGTAAGTTCATGAGGTAATACTTACTTACTTACTTACTTACGCCTGTTACTCCTCGTGAAGGAGCATAGGCCGCTCACCAGCATTCTCCATCCAACCCTGTCCTGGGCAATCCTTTCCAGCTCCTTCCAGTTGTAATTCATCCTTTTCATATCTGCTTCTATTATCCGACGTAATGTGTTCTTTGGCCTTCCTCTTTTCCGCTTCCCTTCAGGATTCCAAGTTAGGGCTTGTCTCGTGATACAGTTTGACGATTTGCGTAATGTATGTCCTATCCATTTCCATCGTCTTCTCCTAATTTCCTATTCAGCTGGAAGTTGGTTTGTTCTCTCCCACAGAAGGCTGTTGCTGATGGTATCTGGCCAATGGATGTTGAGTATCTTGCGTAGACAGCTATTTATAAATACTTGTACTTTCTTGATTGTGGTTGTTGTAGTTCTCCAAGTTTCAGCTCCATACAGTAGAACTGCCTTGACGTTCGTATTGAAGATTCTCACTTTGATATTGGTTGAAAGTTGTTTTGAATTCCATATGTTCTTCAATTGTAGGAATGCGGCCCTTGCTTTGCCAATCCTCGCCTTTACGTCTGCATCTGAACCTCCTTGTCCATCGACGATGCTTCCCAGGTATGTGAAGGATTCTACATCTTCCAGAGTTTCGCCATCAAGAGTGATTGGATTGCTGTTTTCCGCTTTGAATTTGAGGACCTTCGTTTTCCCTTTGTGTATACTGAGGCCTACTGATGCAGAGACTGCTGCTACACTGGCTGTCTTCATCTGCATCTGTTCGTGTGTACGTGATAGGAGGGCTAGGTCATCTGCGAAGTCCAGATCGTCTAATTGGTTCTGAGCTGTCCATTGTATTCCGTGTTTTCCTTCAGATGTCGAGGTCTTCATAATCCAGTCGACCACCAGAAGAAAGAGAAAGGGAGAGAGTAAACAGCCTTGTCTGACCCCGGTCCTTACTTGGAATACATCTGTCAGCTGTCCTCCATGCACGACCTTGCACTGTAGTCCGTCGTATGAGTTCCGGATAATATTGACAATCTTCTCAGGAATTCCGTAGTGTCGAAGAAGTTTCCATAATGTCCTCCTATCTACACTGTCAAATGCCTTTTCATAATCAATGAAGTTGATGTATAGTGACGAGTTCCACTCAACCGATTGTTCGACGATGATCCGTAGTGTTGCAATTTGGTCTGTGCACGACCGATCCTTACGGAATCCAGCTTGTTGATCTCGAAGTTGAGCGTCTACTGCATCCTTCATCCGGTTCAGCAAAACTCTGTTGAAGACCTTCCCTGGTATTGACAGTAGTGTTATGCCTCTGTAGTTTTCACATTTGCTCAGATCTCCTTTCTTTGGAATCTTGACGAGGTGCCCTTCTTTCCAGTCCATTGGCACTTGTTCCTCCTCCCAAATCTTTTTGAATAGAGGGTAAAGCATGCTTGTGGTTACTTCGACGTCTGATTTCAGTGCTTCAGCTGGTATGTTGTCGGGTCCTGCTGCTTTCCCGTTCTTGATTTGTCTGACGGCCGCTCTAATTTCTTCCGTCGTTGGTGGGTTGACATCTATAGGAAGATCTGTGTGTGCTGCTTCGATGTTCGGTGGATTCATTGGAGCCGGCCTATTCAGGAGTTCCTCAAAGTATTCTACCCATCTGTTACGCTGTTGTTGAATTTCAGTGATTGGCTTGCCTTCCTTGTCTTTGACCGGCCTCTCTGGTTTATTGTATTTCCCTGCTAGTTTCTTCGTTGTATCGTAAAGTTGTCTCATATTTCCTTCTCTAGCAGCTTTTTCTGCCGTCGTTGCTAATTCTTCCACGTATTTCTTCTTGTCAGCTCTAATGCTCCTCTTCACTTGCTTGTTTGCTTCTATGTATTCAGCTTGTGCTTGGACTTTCTCTGCTCGTGTTCGGCTGTTGTTTATTGCTGCCTTCTTGTTCTTCCTTTCTTTGATCTTGTCCAGTGTTTCTGTAGAGATCCATTCCTTATGATGGTATTTCTTTAGGCCCAGAACCTCTTGACACGTTGAAGTTAATGCTTCCTTGATGCTTTTCCAGTTGTCCTCCATAGTAGTTTCTTCTTCTTTCAGTAGATCTTGTAAGGCTTGGAACCTGTTGTTGAGAGCTATCTTGAATTCATTGAGTTTGACAGTATCTCGAAGGAAGGTTGTATTGAACCTTTGTATTGCTGTTTGTCCACTTGTCCAGTTCTTTTTTAGCTTCAGTTTCAAATTGGCTACAACTAGGTGGTGATCTGAAGCTACGTCAGCTCCTCTCCTGGTTCTCACATCTTCCATTGTCCTTCGGAATTTTTTGTTGATGCAAATATGGTCTATCTGGTTCTCTGTAGTGTGGTCCGGTGAGATCCATGTAGCCTTGTGTATACGCTTGTGTGGAAATATTGTGCCTCCTATGACTAAATTGTTGAATGCACACAAATTTGCAAATCTTTCTCCATTTTCGTTCCTCTCTCCCAGTCCATGTTGCCCCATAATATCTTCATATCCGATGTTGTCTATTCCGACTTTGGCATTTAGATCTCCCATTAGAATGGTGAGGTCCTTTCTTGGGCATTTCTCAATGACTGACTGCAGCCGCTCGTAGAACTGATCTTTAATGTCGTCGTTGCTATCATTGGTGGGTGCATAACATTGGATAATATTCATTAAGATCCCCTCCTTCTTTGTTTTGAATGATGCTTTGATGATTCTGGATCCGTGGGATTCCCATCCTACAAGTGCATTTCGTGCTACTTTGGACAGCATAAGAGCGACTCCCTGAGTGTGTGGAGCATTTTCATCTTCGTGACCGGAGTATAGCAGCATCTCTCCCGTAGCTAGTCTTTTCTGTCCAGCTTGGGTCCAGTGAGTTTCGCTGATCCCCAGTACTGCTAAGTTGTATCTCCTCATTTCCATTGCTATTTGACTGGTCTTCCCGGTTTCCCACATTGTTCGGACGTTCCATGTACCTATAAAAATTTTTGCTCTGGTTGTTAGAAGGGGCATCGGCCTCGTGGCTTCCGAAGGAACTCGGCTTTCACCATGAAGCGTCATAATTCTTCTAAATGAAGACCTTCTAACTCTCAGGGCAGAGTTAAAATGGTTTGAATTATTTTTTCTGGTAAGCGTTTTTTTAGCGAGTTAGTTTTCTACGGGATGGGGACGCTAACCCCATGCCCAACCCTCCTCCTTTACCCGGGCTTGGGACCGGCAGTAACTCTAGAAGAGCTACAGGCGGAGTTTTCATGAGGTAATATTAACCTTTAAATAAGTGTTTTTCGCGAAACTTATGCAATCTTAGTGTTAAACTGAACATGAATATTTTCAGATCGGATATAATCAAGAATGTTTCCAATATTCTTTTACAATTGTATCGGTTTTCGCTAATTTTGTATCTTAGTAATGGCGTGCAGTTGTCTAGTTTTTTTGTCATAAAGTTAGTAAGCACAGAGTGATATGATCAGTGTTAATAAGATTAGGTGTCACTGTCACTTATTTACTACCAACAGCTGTGATACTTATGTTCCATCGAATAGCAAAGTGTATTATATTTCTCCAGTTTTCATACTATTTACAAATATAACTGTATATAACCCACGACATTCGCAACTTGCTAATAAGTGTACATCGAATATAATAACCACAGCATAACTTTCGTTCCTTATTACTCCAGCTATCTTCAATGATAATTACTACCATAGTATACTAGTAATTTCCTTAATTTTCAAGTCTTGGGATACTTCACGATAAGTTGGTCACCTTAGACCACTGATCCGGCATCCAACGGTGTTAATGTCTAACTTCAAACAATCCACGAAATTGAGCGACACATCCACCGTTGTCATCAGTGATCATGATCTCAGCTTCTTAAATTACTACAATCTCCAGAAAACTTCTGATACTAATCAACTTATGCTCACTAGTGACTGGCTTCAAGAGGTATATCTTTTTTTTAATGGCTTTATTCAATATTATATTTTGGTACAATATAGAATTCTCAGCACAGGGTATTTCAACAAGTTACTTACTGAAACAACGAACAAAAAGGCAGTAACAAATACAAAAAGAAATAAAAAAAGGTTTTAAAATATATATATATATATATAAATTTTAAAAAAGAACCAAAAAAATTAAAGACATGTTAAGAATGTAAGTTATTGACTAGGTAAATTCTAACAACCTGTTCGTCACAGAGTATATTTGCTAGGTAAGGTATTATAGAACTTTTATACTTTTCCTTGTGTGCATGGATTTTAATGTAATTACGTCTCGTTCTACCAGAAGATATACAAGGAGAAAGATAAGAGTGAAGGGGATGGCTAGTATCTGATAAAATAACACCTGCCAGGCGTTTGCATGATTTTAAATGTGTAGTGAGAAGTAGTGACCAGTAGAGTTCAACCGAGTCAGTTGTGAGATAATAACTCACTGATGACAATGGTGGATTTGTCGCTCAATTTCGTGGATTGTTTGAAGTTAGACATTAACACTGTTGGATGCTAGCTGGTTCAGTTGTCTAGTGGTTAAGCGATCGCGCGCGTCACTGATAGGTCGTGGATGCGCACTTCTGAGGAGTCCAATAATAGGACGAAACGGCCGTTCAGTGCTTTCAGATTTTCCATGGTGGTCTAGCTTCAATTGACTCATGATCTCAAACATTATATTTTCAAAAAAAACTCATTTTTTTAATCAAAAGTCTATTTGTTTGAAGTTATTTGTTATAGATAACTTAAATCTAATCTACTTATAATTTTGCATAATAATAATTCTTTATAGATTCCAATGCATCAGACTTTCAGTCAGCCTATTTAACTTGTTTTCGTTTAACAAGAAATTTTTTAATTTGGCGTTATCAATTTATTCCAAGTCAATTGTTTACTGTTTCTAAACCAGAACAAATTCATCATAATACTTCTGACACCCAATTAATCAACAAACCAATAGATGATAATGTGGAAATTTTAAAAACAACTGGAGATTCATATGTAGGTTTCTGTTTGTTTTAATTTCTTTCTATTTTTTTCTTTATTGTTGACTGAAATGTTTTCAAGTTTAATATTACCTTCTTCGTCTTCTGATAGAATATATACTGCAAACTTTATTATCATTTCAGTCAGTCAGTAACAACATCTTATCTTATTAACCTGATCCAATCAAAGTATTGATTACGTCATTTCAGTTATTTCTTGTGTAGATTTGCTTACTTTTAATAATCTATATGATTGTATTAATTTTCATTAGCTGGTCAAATTTCAAAATTATTTTAAGGATTGTTGAACGTATTTTCTTTTACTTTTGTGTTGCTTGGTATGTACGTAACATCATTTTATGTAAAGAAAATAATTGAACTTGGAAATAATGACTAATCCTTGTGTTTGTGTGTGTGTAAGATCATTAAGTATTTCATATGAAAGCATATTGTTAATGAAATCCAACTTTATCTTTAAGGATTTTATATGTTATTAATGCTTTTGGGCTGCTGAAAGTTTTCGTAAATTGAATGAAGGTAATAATAATAAATATTGTATTCAATGCTCATTAGGTTGAGATTACATGGTGGTTGGAGGTAGTCGACAGGAAACCCTGGACCCGGGTTTCGTGCTACTTGGTACTCGTCAGTAAGGTGTACCTGTAGTCTTGAGGGAACTGATGCTCCCTGGCTGACTCGATCTCGTGTCACCCAGCTTCACAGTCAGAGACGTTACCACTGAGCTATCCGACCCGCGACCAACCTCCTGTAGGACTGGGATGTAATCACAATTGATTGATCGCCACCCAGTGATCAATCAATTGTGCTCATTAGGTTCGAACCAGATATTCTCCAATTTCTCAACCGATAGTAAATCATTTTTACTCAACGAATGATTTTATGTCATCCTCATTAAAATAAACAAATTAGCTTTACGTGGATTATACATTTACGAATATACCGAATAGGTAGTTTTTTTCAAATTCAGCTTACATTTCCTAGTCGTTATCAATGTTTCTATTCGAATTATGAATTATAGATGACAAACTATTTGTTAAATGATTTGGTCTTATCTATAAATCGTTGTAATAGATCTGTCTTCTTCCTTCCTTATATTTTAAACGATACGTAATGTTACTGAATAATCATTTATTAGACTATTGATAATGCACCTGTGTCAGATGAATCTTTCTAGATTCATCATCTAGTTTTTAGCAACATATTAATGTTAATGGGTTTTCATTACTGTCTTCACTACCGAACTCCATATTTCAATAGGTTATGATGAAGTATTCATAACTTTGTCTAGTTGGTTCCTTCTCTGAGTGACACTTGGTACTTCTACCTCTCTCATGTAACTAGCTATTAGCCTTGTGATTTTGTAGTCATGGGAATAAATACATTCTATGAAATCCGATAAGGTGCACAATAAAACATTTCTGCAAATGTATAATAACATTCTGCTTTTGATTTGTAAATTGTAAGTAGGCTACGAGTTTGTCAGCACTAATACTATTTCAGAAAACATTAACTAAGCTTAAGCTACGTTCATTTTTTTTACAAACGAATTCAGTTACTTTTTCAAACATCGACACCTCCCAGCGATTGGAGACTACCATATCAAATGATGTTAATTTTATGTATTATTACTAATATCATGTACCTACAATAGTTTGATAAAGAATTTTCCCAACATGAACGCTACATTGGAATCGCAATGCTGTGATACCACTGTATTCTGACCCAACTTAAGCAAATTGACATAACTGTACACAATTTATAGTTGGAATATATGAACAAAACTTCTTTTTAAACGTCATTAATTATAGTACGCAGATTTGATTAGAATTGAGACCCAAACACTAAACTCATTGATTTTCCACTATACCGACATCATATTCGATAAAGAAAGTTAAATGCTTCATATGGAAGAATTTCTATAGTTTATAACGATTTAAAACTGACACGAATATTTGCTATTTCAGTTATTGTTCTGTTGTAAATCCGAGCATGTAACCAAATAAACAAGCTTCATTTGAAAATTATGTGTAATAAGACTCACAGATTCACTAAAATCTAGAAAGTTATAATATAGTTAACATAAATACATCATTATATATGGGCACTGTAATAATAAAGTCACCCAACATTTCAATAAATTTCTATTTTGGTTTTTTTGTTTTGTTCCAGAATTCACAGTTGCAGGACTCATGTACAACTTCACCAGACTCTGTTGCTGCTGTAGTCTCGCAACATCCTGGACGTAAACTTGCAGAACCTGATGATTGGAATCAAATTGCTGGTAGTTTTAAAAAGTTTGTCTGCCCTCTATCTATCGTTTAAACATTTTATCAGATGAAATTTTAATGTTGATATGCATTTTAGAGGTCATTCAGCAATATTTTCGAATAGTGTGCATATATTAAACACTATTATGAAAATCTGATTATAGTTAGAATTAACTCAAATTTAATTTTGATCAATTCGAATCCATAACTTTAGTTCTTGATAGTATTCTTTGATACAACACTTCCATATGAATTATAAACGATAGTGAAAAAAGGACTAACAAAACAAGTAATGTCACATTCTGTGGTTGTACATTCAGATAAAAAGATACGCGCTTTCTATACTTCAGTTCAATCTTTTATGGGAGTGAGTAGAATAGAAATCGGCGAATGAACAAAAATGCATGCAGGTCATTAATACGCGGATAAATATATATATATATATATATATATATATATATATATATATAATAGACTTCTTCCAAGTTTGTATTGTCTTTGCTATCTCTTATCAGGCGCTTGGCCTTGAGATGGCATATGAACACAAGCGCATGGTATGTTTAATCTTGCTCAGCCTATTACCTCTCCCTCCTGGAAAGTAGACCTTCCGCCCTGCGGTTCAGCTGCTTGAGTTAAGGTGAGGATACTTCAATTAGGCAAGTTGTCATTTTTTCAGACTTATATTACAAAGAGAAATTTATGAACATAAAGGGGCCACTTAGTGTACAGAACATGTCTTTGCGACTCATTTTAAAATAACTTGGATTATCCCGTTGTTAATATTTTGACTGAAATTTGATCAACTTTGGTTCGCATTTGAGGATCCTGTGCGGATTACCTCAATTTAGTCATTATGACCCAAGTTAATATAGAATAGTTGCAATGTGGGTTCCATCCCTAGCCACATACCATTTATTGTATATTAACGTGTGTTTTTGCATTTTAACCCTTTATTACCTCAATTCGTGAAATAGGTTGGTATATATGAAATACACCGAATGGTTTTATTTCACTATTATCTTCACATTTGATTGCCTTGGATTTGTAGATGACTTCATTGGTCGTAAGTAGTTATATTACTTATATTTAGTTAATGAACTTTGGAAATTTCACATCAATCAGCTTACTGAAACTGCAGACAGAAGTAAACCGCTGTTTATTTCTCTCTATTTTCTAAGGTTTCTCCAATTAGTGTGTCAGTACATAATGGATACCGTCTTTCGAACGAACTAATCTCCATAATATTCCTGTTCAAATTGATAGTAACTAACTAACTACCTGATACACAAGCATTGAAACTCTTCAGTTAAACGAAACAATTTGCCTACCATTCGGTATTATCTTTTCGAGAATCCGAAATGGGTTTTAAAGTTTTTCTATCACTTTCTTAGTTGAAACTTCACATAACTTCAAATTATAAAATATATTTGTAAATTCATTTCAATTTCTCATTACATAGGTTGAGCAACATGGCTGCTGATCAAGGTCGGAGACTTGTCAGTCAAAGTGTTGCTGGTCTTGTGAAATTCGGCAGTAAGTATTTAATGTTTTCGGTTGCAATCAAAGTTAAATTATAAATAAGTATAGTCAGTCATTGCCAACGTATATCATGACGAAGATATAATTTAGCCTAAGTTTCCATAATGCATTAGCTCGACAAGACGATAATAGCACAATACATAACAAAAGCAATTTAAATAATGTAGTGGCAGTGATGATAAGAAAGACTTAATATTGGTAATGTTTTTCAAAAAGACAGAGTGGAAAGTATGAATGAAAAATTCTTGAATTCGCAGTCTTAATTAAGATAAATAGTGAGTAACTTCATCTAGAAAGAACTGTTGTAAAGACCACTCAGTGAAAAAAACTGAGAAAACATGAAAATGCGAAATAGCCCGTAATATATAGATCTCAGTGAACATGTAGAATTATTAAACCCTTTGTCCCCATAATGTGACTTTAAAAAGGATGCACCCCGCTATCCTACCGAACAATTGCCCAGTCCCATCTTTAATAATTCTATACTACCATACTGTTGAATTTCACATAGGACTAATTCAGTTATCAGCTAGTATGAGAACTAAATACTGGGTTTGCAAAAGGCGGTCAATGGTAAGAAAGGCGGTTATCAAGTTTATTGAATGTAGAAGAAATACCTGCGTGTAGCAGTCGAGAATGTCAGCTATCATGAGCTGGAATTCAGTGAAGTATAAATGCCCATTCAGGCATGTTCGAATAGACTCATTTGGTCTGTTTATCGCTAAAAGAGGAGGGAGCTCTCGTAAGAAAATTATGGTTGTCTGTTTACTTGTTCTTAAGTATACTATAAACATCCATTCATATTTGTGCTCTCGATTTTCAGACTTACGATTAACAAAAAAATTTAGCCTAGAAATCTTATTTCCTCTAGGGTGTAAAATCTTGGAACCGTATGTTACATAACTTATTCTTGCTATGTCTTTAGGTCCTGCACCTGATTTTTACGGATTTTGCCATCGTAATGCACCTAGAAATTTCAGCAGTACTAAAACGTCGAATAAAGATGGCCCACAATTCGATATATACCAATTTCATTCAAACTGGTTTTGAAATTATACACATTAATGACTGATTTAAAGATGAATGTTTAAATTTGTAGAAGTCTTAAGTACAAATGAAAATCCGGACAACTTGTTCGTTTTCGCTGATTGACATAGCTCTCACAGTTTTCATCAGAGCGTAAGTGAATAAAGTGGATAATGCTTCCTTTGTGCACCGATATCCTAGGAAAATCAGACAAGTATTATGACGTCTCAGAGTTATATGATAAGCCAGATCCAAAAGTCGTGGATACATAGATCATTCGCCTATCGAATTCGTTCCGTCTGTCTTTGAGTATACAGGTACTGTATGTTCGTTCGATATTTGATTTCTCCTATGTAGCTGTGCTGTTCAAACGTTAACCATTGTGTCATGACAATGACCTTTAAAAGTTGATATAAGGCTTTAAAAGTAGTTTTCAAGACTATCGAAGTTGGACGGCTCCTCTACTTTACAATTATCATAAACCAAAATGAAGTTAGAAAATACACGTTTCGTTATTTTCGGGGAAAGCATTCTTAAGTGAATGGTGCAGACTGTCTTCAAACACCTATTTTTATGTTTACCTGTTCACTTATTGCACTAATTTCCTATACACATGATTAGAATGTCCTTATCACACACTTTCATTATGATATTGATTCCTTACACAATCAACTAGGTTTATTTCCTCCAATTACTAGGTGATTTCAACTCGACATTTCGTTCATCTTCACCATCAAGTTTTGTTTGGAAATTCTCAGATGCTCTTAAATCAGTTGTTTCAAATCCCATATCAATTAGTTCTCCAATTCTACCACTTGAAACCACAGGTACCAAAGACGAATCAATTTCTCCACAAATCAATGTTCCGAAAACTCAGATACCAGATAATAAAAATTACTTTTAATACTCAATGTTGTTCATTGTTGTAGCTGTGATATTTATTGTGATATATTTTACTTCACAATGAAGTCCTTCTTTTAATCATATTTTATATCAAGCTTTATCAATCTCATGTTTTATTATTCCCCATTTTTATGCATCGTTTTATTCTTGTGGTCGTAAATGCATTTGTATGAACGCAATCTTGTTGTCTGATTCTTTTACGTCCAGAGTTTTGTTGTACTAATGTTATATTTTGCAATAAACATTTGTGTAATATGATAATAACTTATCAATAACCGTAAATTACTTGAAACACGGGAATTTACAGACAAGATCAAATTGTTACAAATGTTGCGTTATTTATTACATTAAACTTGTTTGTCTATCTATGGTGGGTTATAGCTTGAATGCAGAAGCAGGATAACAAAATGTTTATGCATAAACAGATGATTGCTGAATTAAAACTGGGTTATACACTGTGGAAGATAGCGTGTCATATGGATGCTGCTCTACACCAACTCAAGGTTGCAGCGTAGAGTGATTGACTATTTTGAACATGTCTTTGCCAGTTAAAGGCGGTCTCTCATCGTTGTATTTGTATATTTGGTCCCGTTTTGTTAGGAATACTCGTAATGCATATTTATCATTCGTCTTCGTGTCTGGTAGACTGTTTTTTGCTAAAGAAACCTTTGATTGTTTAGGAGAAGCTGTTATTTTTGAGGTATTTCGTAATTCTCATCTAATTTAGCTTTGTCAAGTTGGAACCAACCAAATGAAATACAAAGTTAGTGTCTTATTGAATGCATTTTGGCTCGTTAGTCCTTTTTGTTCAAAGCCAAAAATAGGATTTCGGCCGTTACGAGTGATCTTTTAAAGGCAATTAATAGCGTATTTCAATATGCTCTGAATCTTTACTCCATTTTTCCCTCGAAATCTAATTTTAACAAGTAAGTATGGTGTATAGCGTTTTTCCAACATATTCGTTTCACAAAAGTGGAAGCACAGACCATCTCTAACAAAATAGACGTCTGTTTGCCAAGGTTTATTTCTAGCATATTATTGGTGACCTCAGACGTTTCGTTATATTCAAAATATCTTGTTTAACAGTAATTAGTTGTTCTTGAATAATCCAGTCCTTTGTCGTTGACCAAGATTGTTATTTAACAGTTTCCAGGGATATAACTAGTAATGATTTGAACTGTTCATTAACTTGAATTAAATGGAGTCATTTGCTCCAACTTTTTAAGTGTTTCATCTAGTTTGGTTGAGTTATCTGCATTGATGGGTTCTGTTACTTAATGCAACTTGTTCTGAACTAGTTCAGTCCTGTGTGGCTGACTGCACTGTCGTCGGTGACCACAAAGGTATCAAATATAGAATTGACAATGTTGTATATACGTACTCTCTTTAAAAACATGTTAATTGCAGCCACTGGAAGTTAAATCTTTCAATTAACATTCTCACTTACTTGAACTTGCACTTGTGTGATGGCCTCGTTTCTACCCTCGTCCATAACTGTGGATACAAATAGTATGTTGGAAGCATTTCTCATTTATCCTCATCATGGTTTCATTCCTTAGCTTCAATATCTTCACCTTTGCATTTCTGGTTGTTCATGCAGTTTGTGATTGGAGCTGAGATTCAGCAAGATTATCTAATGAAACCAACATTGCTATGTGAAATTATTATTGCTTCATAAAATTATTGTAATTTGTTTGTTACCGAGTGAGCATTTGTCTACACAAATGACAGCTATTCTTTGTCGTTTGTCATTTATTCCATTACTTACAAATGTTGTATGGTTAATTATGTGTTACTTCGTTTTCAAATTTGGTTGTAAACACTTTTCGAAAAATGGTACCTGTTGAACAAGCGTAGGAAATATGTTGAGATAATATAAACTAGTTTGTTTCAATACCACTTTGTCTAAGTGCCTGCTGTTTCATTTGATGTTAGTAACATCGTTAGCACGTTAGATATAAGGGGGAAATAGGCGTGGCCCATACCTTGTTTTTTCAATATGTTTCTGCTATAATTGCATTGAAATATCCATTCTAGCACATAATAACCTCTATTCAAACTAACTGAATAGATTATCGTTTGTTTATCATACGTTTAACTTAGTGCAACATCTTGTGTCATAGTACACTGCTCAACGTCAGCTAGACAGTCTGTGTTATGATGCTTGCTAACAAGTAGTAAGTGGAATAGAAATAGTTGTCGTTTCATTTACTGACTAATATAATCTGCTGATTAAGAGTTCAGTTGTGTTCTGGTCAGTAAGTACAGAGTTCGGGCGCATTTAAGAACAAAAGGCTCTCCACAAAACCTGCGCTGATATGTCATGTGCTTCGGTTGCTAGTCAGTAAAATTAAAAACAAAGTAATTTGCCGGTTCTTAGACCAAAGCAGCCAATACAGACTATATACGCTACATAATTTATGGGCTTTATAACAAATATTGTATGCTACTTAACAAGGATAACGGTTTTCAAAGTTTGAAGGTTAAAAAAAATAAACTTGAATAAATATTACTCAAGTCCTCATTACATAGATTTCTAGACCAATATTACTGAGAGTTTCATCAACTTCTTGATGCACAACACTAGAAAGGGGTTCTAATTAAGCTGACACAAATAAGCATAGTCGATTTCGGGTATCAAACTATTTTTATCATTTAAGCTTTAATATAATTGAATTATAATACTTCATTTTAAAGTACTGGGTTCAATCATTTCACAGTTTATTTACACGTCAAATCATATTCAAGAACACTGAGGAGACAAAACACGGTACGAAAAGTATTAGGGCAGAAAGAAGCGATGTTGTATGGTAATAAAATCCGGGAATACCGACGCTTACGACGGGACGTTTCGCATTACTTAGAAGCATGATATGGTTTAGTTGTATTTTTTAAATACATGTAATAATTTTAAAATACCTACTTTCATCCTTGACATGCTTAAAATAACAATTTGGGCGAAGATTATTTAGGCTATAAAAAATGGGGTTATAATGATAATAATAAAACGTAAGTTGCGTGTTAATAGCCGTTGGTTAATAACTTAACATATAGGTAGTAAGTATTTTGTGTTTAGAAATATTAAAAGCAGTCGATAATGTAGAAACGTTAATATTGGTACTATTTTGGGTTTAAATTATTAAGTCAAATAACGTTTATACCGATAAGCTGTCCATATGAGTTGATTTCCAATTGCATCTGCATTAGTAGGCTAACTTATAGAACAGAAGTATTACCGTGGAGAAGAATTCCAACTAGTGTTCCAGTTAGTTTGGTACGGTTTATTTAGTTACGGAGAGATTTTCTCGCCCTCATTTCTACTTGGCCGTGATAGAATTTAGTAATACTACAAATACATATGAATTGTTATAAAAAATTTTTAAATACCTGTAAGGTAATGATTATGTGAATTTTGGACAGATAGATAAGATCAATTCGTTAAACATAAGTGTATCCGCAAGAGACATGCTCTAGACTCAATGTTCTGATTTGCCATAGACTATTTACTTATACTTTATACCTACTGGCTGCTGGTGAACACAAGTTAGTTGCAAGTATTCAGTTTAGCATGAGGCGGAATACGATTTAACTGATATAGTGGTTATAACTAGCTTCCGGGATATTGTGATACGCCCTGACTAAGTCAATTTTAATAAATATTTTCGTACCCTATAAAACGTTTGTGAAATCTTGGATATGTGGTATTGTGTACCTATCTGGTACTGTTTGACGGTTGAAAGCTCTGTAATCCCCGCACGGTTACCAATCGTCTTCATTTTTCTTTGGGATCATATGCAATGGGGATGCCCATTGATTATCATGAGGGCGGATAATACCCAGTTGTAACATATAGTCAAATTCAGCTATGGCGATTTCGAGTTTATCTGGTGCTAGTATCATGGGTCTTTCAAACACAGGTGCACCTTCGGTTTCGGTCGTATGACTTACTTTTGTTTTGATTTTTCGAAGGCTGTGGGTTTGGTCCAGTTAAGTTTGGAAATTCCGCGAGCATATCTTGGAATTTTGCTGTTGTTACTGGAGGATTTTGTATCAAGTTAAGAGATGTGATGTGACTTCTTTGCCTTTCGTGTAATTCGAACTTTCTTTCAGTGTTAAGCGTCGTTTCTTCGTGTCAACTGGAAATTCGTACCTCTGTAGAAATTCCATCCCCAGTATTGCCAGATCTAAATCGGGTACAGTGAAAACACAAAGGAACTGCCTCCTGAACTCCAAATCTAGTGTTGAAGTCTTCTGCCCAAATAGTAATAATAATATATTTCTGCATGTGCAGGTACACGCCATTTTTACACACATGATCTATAAATGACAACATTTGTTGGTGCACAGCAAGCTTCCCAACTAATATTGTTTATAGTTGTTATAAATTAGACTCGTAGAGCGTTTGCTGTAAACAATGACCTTGAGGAGACTCTGTGGTGTTTGAATGGACTAATGATACCTTTGTACTTGTTGAATGCTTGATTTCGAATTCTAAATACAATACATTCGTTCGTGCTTTTCTAGTACTTCTTGATTTAATTGCGCTAATTCTGGGATTCGTAGTTCAGAATATAATTCAAATAATTCGAAACATTATAGACGCGAACGTCAAGTTTGTTCCAGACGTCAGAAGTTTCATAGCTGTGCCTTCAGAGCAAGTTTCTGAAGAAAAAAAGAGAAACAGAAAAGCAGCAAGGCACTTGAATATGAACGCCAAACGTTTCTTAACATTGTGTAGTAGAACAGACAGAGGTATAATAAATTGGATTAAATTAATATTATCTCTTGTTAGAGTGAAATGAAGTCAGATGCTCCATATAAGAGAATGTAGTAATAGAGAACAATTAGTTGTGTCGTTTAACAAGTTGTAGTAAGCTCACATGAAGGAAGGGAGGTCAAGGCCGATATATGGAAAGCGGTATATTGGAAGGGAGTGTGCATACAGAGGGTGAAGTGTTAGGAATACTAATGATCATGTCTTTTGTTGTCTTTTTTTTCTTTCTTTTCTTTTTGTTGTCCATCTGATGCCAGCCACACAATCCTAGGGTAAAAGTCCGAGTTAGTATGTTTTAGGTTGTCTTAGAAGAATAGCTAATCCAGCATAAAATCGGAAACATGAGTCTCAGTGGTGAGCGTAGGATAACAATCTCAATATCACAGATTGATTGACTTATTCTCAATCATAAAGAGCCTGATACATTCAAAATGTTCTGCCCCACAAACACGGGTGGATTGAAATTATCGCCCTCACCATCAATGCTTGCTGGTCAGTAACTCCACTCTCCCTGCTTTTGTAATGTTAGGCTCATTTAAGCTTATTTTTGTATATATGTCATACCTCACGCAATCCTCTGTGTTTCACA